GGGCGGGGGCACAGACCTAGTCCTGGCGCTGGGAGCCGGCATCACGCGCCCCAGCCCCCGTCTCGGCCAGGCCCCGCTGCAAGAAACCCCCCAGGAGAAAGATGTGGGGTGAACTGCCCCCAACTCTCACATGAGGTCTCCTCCCAGCCCTGGGTGCGCACACAGGAATACGCACACCCGGCGCGAAAGTAACTAGCTAACCCACCCCCCAGACAGACAGTAACTAGCTAACCCATCTCCCAGACAGTAACTAGCTAACCCATCTCCCAGACAGACAGTAACTAGCTAACCCACCCCCCAGACAGACAGTAACTAGCTAACCCATCTCCCAGACAGTAACTAGCTAACCCATCTCCCAGACAGACAGTAACTAGCTAACCCACCCCCCAGACAGACAGTAACTAGCTAACCCATCTCCCAGACAGTAACTAGCTAACCCATCTCCCAGACAGACAGTAACTAGCTAACCCACCCCCCAGACAGACAGTAACTAGCTAACCCATCTCCCAGACAGTAACTAGCTAACCCATCTCCCAGACAGACAGTAACTAGCTAACCCACCCCCCAGACAGACAGTAACTAGCTAACCCATCTCCCAGACAGTAACTAGCTAACCCATCTCCCAGACAGACAGTAACTAGCTAACCCACCCCCCAGACAGACAGTAACTAGCTAACCCATCTCCCAGACAGTAACTAGCTAACCCATCTCCCAGACAGACAGTAACTAGCTAACCCACCCCCCAGACAGACAGTAACTAGCTAACCCGCCCCCAGACAGACAGTAACTAGCTAACCCAAGCCAACCAAAAAAAAAAACCCCACCAGGAACATTTTTGTTGAGCAAAATCCAGTTGTGACCCCTTTAATTAGTCAGCCAATCTCCCCGCCCCGGCTTATTTCTGCTGGGCACCCCCCAGACAGACAGTAACTAGCTAACCCGCCCCCAGACAGACAGTAACTAGCTAACCCATCTCCCAGACAGACAGTAACTAGCTAACCCACCCCCCAGACAGACAGTAACTAGCTAACCCGCCCCCAGACAGACAGTAACTAGCTAACCCATCTCCCAGACAGACAGTAACTAGCTAACCCATCTCCCAGACAGACAGTAACTAGCTAACCCATCTCCCAGACAGACAGTAACTAGCTAACCCATCTCCCAGACAGACAGTAACTAGCTAACCCATCTCCCAGACAGACAGTAACTAGCTAACCCATCTCCCAGACAGACAGTAACTAGCTAACCCATCTCCCAGACAGACAGTAACTAGCTAACCCATCTCCCAGACAGACAGTAACTAGCTAACCCGCCCCCAGACAGACAGTAACTAGCTAACCCACCCCCCAGACAGACAGGCTACATCTACACTACGTGCTTCTTGCACAAGAGCACGTCCCCACCTCAAAGCACATGGCAAAAGAGCTGAGCTGAGCTATTGCGCAAGTGTCCACACTGCATGGACGCTCTTGTGCAAGGAAGCTCCGATGGCCATTCCCAGAACGGCCATCAGAGCACCTGGGCCTTTTCCCTCTTTGCCTTGCGCAAAAGCACATTTGAGGTGTGACCGCTCCATGGGTTTTTGCACAAAAACAGCTGGTTTTGCACCAAAACTTTGCAGTGTAGATGTAGCCACAGTAATTAGCTAACCACCCCCAGGGAGACAGTAACTAGCTAACCCACCTACCCAGACAGTGACTAGCTAACCACCCCCAGGGAGACAGTGACTAGCTAACCTGCTCCCCGACAGATAGTAGTAATTACCTAAGCCATGCAGACAGAACCAAGCTAATACACCCAAAGAGAAACTAGCTAATCCACCCAAATCAAGACAGTTCCTAGCTAACAAACACAGACAATCATTAACTAACTCCTCACCCCAACAGCCAGCCAGCCAGCCCCAGACAGCCAACCCTGCTGCCCCCAGACAGACAGTAACTAGCTAAGCTGCCCAGACAGACACAGATTGTAACCTGCTAATCCCCAGACAGAACTAGCTCGCACTCCCAGACACAGCAACTAGTTAACCCTCTCGGCCATCCTGTAACTAGCTAACCTGCTGAGACAGACAAACTAGCTATTCTCCCCAGACAGACAGATCAGTAACTAGATAACCTGCGCCACGAGACCGTCAGCAACTAGCTACCCCGCAGACAGCAACTAGCTACCCCGCAGACAGCAACTAGCTACCCCGCAGACAGCAACTAGCTAACTCTGCAGACAAATGGGTGGCCAGACACCGACGTTTAGGGCTGGCGGAGACCTCAGGAGTCATGGAGTCCAGCCCCCTGCCCAAGGCAGGACCAGCCCAACTCCATCATCCCAGCCAGGGCTTTGTCCAGCTGGGACTTAAAACCTCCAGGGATGGAGACTCCACCCCCTCCCTAAGGAACCCAGCCCAGCGCGTCCCCACCCGCCTAGGGAAACAGTTTTTCCTACTGTCCAACCTAGACCTCCCCCACTGTACCCGGGGACCATTGCTCCTCGTTCCGCCCCCCGTCACTGCTGTGAACAGCCTCTCCCCTAGCCATCCAGAGACAGACGGCCAGTGACTAGTTGTGCCTGCAGACAGACAGACAGCCGCTAGCTCACC